AACATATCCAAAAATCACTAAGACCGACCGCACACGAGGTTCCTGCCCAAAATAGTTCCGTAGATTTAGGCAGCGCAGTAGGTCTTTTTTGGGTGTCTAAAACATAAACAAATACCGAAGATATCAGTTTGTATGAAAGCTGGTTGTGTGCCCCTCGTTCGGGAGTTTGGTTCTACCGAACGTCATTTCAAAGACTCAAACTGAAACGAACATACTTGTGGCTGGAAGTCCCAGCAGTGTTCGGGTCATCAAGTGGTCTATTTTAGTTCCATGCACTCGACGACCAAACACAGCTGTAAGCATTCGTGGAATTAAGATGGCCGCCGCCTCGTGTTCGGCCATACGAATGACAGCCACCCAGCCGACCACTTAGAATGTTATTAGTTTGTGGTTTCTGCAAGTGTGAAAAATGGTCACGCAGGTTAATAGGCTGCACACAACAGTTCTGGGTGGTCTGACCGTTCGGTTGTTTGTTCGGGATACGAACTGGTTAGGTTTTAAGTGTTCAGTTAGTTTGTATACCGAATAATTCAAAGCAATACAATTAAAATAAACAGAACATTTTCAACAGGGTGCAATCCATGGAGAAGGCATCCGTCACACATTTCATAATGGCAGATGTGCCATTTTAAAACCCTATGTCTCCTCCCAAACAAATATCCAGACACAGCTAAAAATTTCCCATAAAGCGTCAGTTTTGGAAATGGTAGGGTCAGGGTTACGTAAGGTCATAAAACATCTGGGGCCTCAGCTGAAATAAAAATTCAGTGATGGTGACATGCAGGGAGGGCGTTGTGTGCCATGTGCTCCTCCTTCCATAATACTCTCTGTGACGAGACCAATCTCGCCACATTGCATTGGAGAAGCCTGGTTGCTCGCCTGCTGCCTCTGGACTATGGCCCCCTTTTAAAAGACTTTATTTTGCCTGCAGAAAAGCTGTATTCGTGCTTTTCTGCCGGTTGTTCGGTAGATTCAATCTACCGAACAACCGCACGAATGAATAGACCACCTGGGAGCTGGAGTGTGACGGCAATTAACCTCCCTGAAGCTGCAGTTAACCGCAGCTTAATTGACAAATACTGGGTGGCCGCCATTCGTATCCCGAACACGAGGTCGCGGCCATTTTAAACATACGAATGCACAGCGGTGTTCGCCCCTATTTTCATGGAACTAAAATCGGACACAGTTTTGCGCGAACACCGCTGAAGCCGCCGACCTCCCTTCTTGTTCGGTGGAAGTGCACGAACGGCCCGGTGTTCGGTAGTTTTGTTCGAATGTGTTATACCCCAGATAGGAATCCCATGGAGCCCATTCGTATGAAACTGACTGTAAAGACTTTGGCTCCATGGCGATTAAACTGTATTCGTGTGGTCTGAGCGCCATTCGCTTAATAATGTGCGCTCAGACCTGAGCTATCTGGGGAATTGTTACATGTCTGTGTTTTATGTAATAAATGTTACTTTATGTATTTTAAAGAATAATACTGGTTTTGTGTCCCCACGTGTGTAATGGAGTTTTTCCTTTGTCCTGGGAGATAATTGAATTACTTCTCCAGGGCAGAGGGGAGGAAGCCAGGATGCATTGTGGGGATGTTTCACTTCTGTATGTCTGTAATTGGTACATGTCTGTCTTTTGTTACAGTCTTCCATCTGGTCCCCTAGGGGAGTGTCCACCAGGTGGGAGACCTGCATAAATACTGGGCAGGTAGCCCTCATTAAACAGACCACTGCTTGACCCTCAACACGGAGCCTTGTCTCGTCTTTGGGGGGGATTTACTGTATGCTGTTAGAGACTGATTGCTAGGAGTGTAAGTCGCTTGGATGCTGTGACAGACCCATCTGTCTGGATTAAAAGTACTGTGTTCATCTGTTTTGCCGGTTACATGAATTTCCCCATTCGTATGCTTTGTTTAAGGGAATGTCGGTTTTTGTCGAATGAAACTACCGAACGGACGGCCACCCAGAAGAGAAGTGTGCTGCTGGTTAACCTATTGATCCCAATTAGAACGTTGCGGTTAACCACAGACACTTCTCAATTAAAACCGAATGCCGGGTGGTCGTCGTTCGTATGTCGACCACGAGGCGGCGGCCATTTTAACCATGCGAAAGACCAGCGGTGTTCGACGATTATTTCATGGATCTGAAAACGGACACTTTTTCAACCGAACACCGCTGAAGCCGTCGACCTCCCCTTCTCAATCGACAAAAGCATACGAATGCCGGCCGTTCGGGAGATTCAACAACACGAATGGACTTAACCCAGATAGCCTCCCATGGAGTCAATCGCATACCGAAGAACTGTAATAGACTTTGACTCCATGGCGATTGAACTATGCGAATGGGATCTGAGCACTATTCGCCAATAATATGCACTCAGATCCAGGCTATCTGGGGATGTGTTACACGAATGCAATATGTTCGGCAGTTATAAAGTTATAGATTTTTATGTGTTTTGTGACTTGTATTTAAAATGGCGATTTGCCTCTGCTCGGGGAGATAATTGAATTACTTCCCAATTATCCCCCGAGCAGAGGGGAGGGAACTGTGATGCATGATGGGAATATTGTGGGGATGTGTGTCCAAAATGTCCCCATGTCTTTCTGTAATTCCAGTCTCCCATTTGGTCCCCTAGGGGAGTGTCCACCAAGTGGGAGACCTGCATAAATACCGGGCAGGTAGCCCACAGTAAATCAGTTCGTGTTTTACCTTCAAAGCGGAGCTTGGTCTCGTTATTGGGGGGATTTTATTACCGGTGACTAGAGACTGCTTGTTTGGATTATTTGCCGCTTGGAAGATATTGCCGACCGAGTACCCTCCGTTGATGGATGCTCCTAGCGCTTCCTGAGGACTCCAAACACTGCAGCAGACACCACAACCACCGCAGACTCCACAACCGCCGTAGCTTAACTGGAGTCTCGCCGTCTTCCTTCCACCCTGGATCAGCTTCTGTCCTCCAGGACCGT